AAACTTTCCCTTGTCTGAATCCTCAACTTTCTGCCTGTGATTGGCTTTCACTCAGGTGCACTAGCAGAGTCCCCTGCACCCCTGTTAGCCTATTCCATCAAGTCCAGGATGTAAAATCTGTCCTGAAGCTCCTCTGCTCTCTACTACCCAGAGAGGGACTATGAGGTTCTTCCCCTTTCTCCCTGCAGCCCTTTTCTACTCTTAGGGTATGTCTACACTACGAAATTAGGTCAAATTTATAGAAGTCGATTTTTTAGGAAGCGATTTTATACAGTCGATTGTGTGTGTCCCCACTAAGCACATTAAGTCGGCGGCGTGCGTCCACAGTACCATGGCTAGCATTGACTTTCGGAGCGTTGCACTGTGGGTAGCTATCCCACAGTTCCCGCAGTCTCCGCCGCCCATTGGAATTCTGGGTTGAGCTCGCAATGCCTGATTGGACAAAAACATTGTTGCGGGTGGTTTTGGGTACATGTCGTCAGTTGCCCCTCCCTCCATGAAAGCAATGGCAGACAATTGTTCTGCGCCTTTTTTCCGTGCAGACGCCATATTGCTTTCAGCAGATGGTGCAGTAGGACTGCTAACCGTTGTCATCGAACAACCGCTTCTGCTGCCACTCTGCTCTCCTGCTCTGGCCACAGACGGAGCAATAAGTCGGAAAAACTGGCATTCCAACCACCGCTTCCGCTGCCATTCTGCTCTCCTGTCTCGATCGATAGCAAATTTCTCCATGTTGGCTGTCATGGGCTCCCACTTCCGCTGCAACTCTGCTCTCCTGAATCCATCTCGCAGGTCCTCTCGTCATTCTCTATAAATATCTATTCTCGTGGCATCTCTCTATAAATATCTATTCCATCATCCACCGCTTCCGCTGCAACTCTGCTCTCCTGCAGGCGCCATACCACGGCAAGCATGGAGCCCGCTCAGATCACTGCAGCAGTTATCACCGTTGTAAACACCTCGCGCATTATCCTGCAGTATATGCGGAACCAGAACCTGCAAAAGCAGGCGAGGAGGCGACGAGAGTGATGAGAACATGGACACAGACTTCTCTCAAAGCACGGGCCCTGGCAGTGGGGACATTATGGTGATAATGGGGCAGGTTCATGCCGTGGAACGCCGATTCTGGGCTCGGGAAACAAGCACAGACTGGTAGGACTGCATAGTATTGCAGGTCTGGGATGAATCCCAGTGGCTGCGAAACTTTCGCATGCATAAGGGCACTTTCATGGAACTTTGATTTGCTTTCCCCTGCCCTGAAGCACAAGAATACCAAGATGAGAGCAGCCCTCACCGTTCACAAGCAAGTGGCAATAGCCCTCTGGAAGCTTGCAACGCCAGACAGCTATCGGTGAGTCGGGAACCATACGCCGGAGCATATCAGTTTGATCCTCCAGTAGCCTCAGCATTGCCTCCTGCCTCCTCTCATCACGCTGCCGCCACCTCTCCTCTTGCTCCAGCTATCTATCCTCTCTCCTCTCATTCATTTTGTGCTTTCCTGGACTCTGACATTGTCTGCCTCCACGCATTTTGCTGGGCTCTTTCAGTGCGGGAGGACTGCATGAGCTCAGAGAACATTTCATCGTGAGGGCGTTTTTTTCGCTGCCTTAACTGCGCTAGCCTCTGGGATGGAGATGATAGGGGGAGTGTCAAAACATTTGCAGCTGCGGTAGGAAAAAAAAGGGAGAGTAGTATTTAAAAAGACACATTTTAGAGTACAAGGTCGCATTTTGCCTCTTATATTGAGGGGCTGCTGGTTTGGTGTGAGAGATCACACACACATAGGGCCGGGCAACAGAATTAGGCTTGCAGGCAGCCATGGTAAGCCACAGTCTTTTGGCTTCTTTAAGTCTTCAGGGCAAATTAATCATTAAACACGCTTGCTTTTAAACCATGTATTGTATTTACAAAGGTACACTCACCAGAGGTCCCTTCTCCACATTCAAGGTCCGGGAGCCCGGCTTGGGAGGGTATTGGCTCCATGGTGATAAACCGTTCCTGGCTGTCGGGGAGAACGGTTTCTCTGCTTGTGTGCTGTGCGCTATCCTCATCTTCCTCGTCCCCAAAATCCTCATCCCCGTTGCATGAGATTCCCCCCTTGCAGGTGTCCACGAACAGGGGTGGGGTAGTGGTAGGGGCCTCCCCTAGAATTGCATGCAGCTCATCATAGAAGCGGCATGTCTGGGGCTCTGACCCGGAGCGGCCGTTTGCCTCTTTGGTTTTTTTGGTAGGCTTGCCTGAGCTCCTTAAGTTTCATGTGGCACTGCTGCGGGTCCCTGTTATAGCCTCTGTCCTTCATGCCCTTGGGGAGTGTTGTTTTTTTTTTTTTT